TTCTCCCTAATGAATACGGAACGAAATTTGAGTTATATTAACAGAAAGATTGATTAATAATACTGGATACAACGCACTATGTTTATTAAAGTGTACAGAAAGCAAATTAGACACGTTATATTCAATTTCTCCTCCAACTCAAATCGATGTTATATTTACATGAGTAGACTATCTCACCTCCTTGTCGATATGATTTAATTAGAAGGAAAATTGGACAAAATATTCTGAGTACTACAGAAGGTAAAGGAAATAAAATATTCATGGAAAACTGCATTCAGAAAGTATTTATTCAAAGAACAAGCAAACCAGGTTTTCAGAAACAGAAAACCGACAAGATATATGGTGAATTCATTGTGTACACATAGAATTGAGTTAGAATTTTGTGTATTTGAAGATGGATTTGAGTTATAAATTTAAAAATTTATTTACCTGCTCAATAGATCTAATGTAGTCTTCAATAGAGCACCCCACATAAACCATCCCGACATCTTCGAAAAGTGTTATAGTGCCACTGAGGTTCGCTTCTACGACATTTAGTACCAACCTATATCTGCAAATAGTACAGTTGTTTTAATTAATTGTTTTGTTTATAAAATATAAGGCATAAACCTTTTGTTTTTTCTTATTACCTTGGAGTTGTTTCCACGACATCGTTGCACTTTTTACACATCTTGTTGTCGTCATTCTTGTTAACAGAGGATGTGCATTTTTTGCACGATTCATACCATAGAGATGTTTTGTTCATTACTTTGGCGACAAATCCTCTTAAGCAGTAGTACTTTCCCTGTAATTAGAAATATTTTTTATGGATATAAATATCTCAACCAAAGAATATGTTGGTTATAACTATGATATTTGTTAAATTTACCTCAATTATGTCTGCACGATTGTAGTAAATCTGTTGCAAGGTGATACTATCCAAGTCCTTCATTATTCGTGCCATTGACATTTCAATTATATTCACAGGCGTACCATGTGTTTGTAACCTAAAAAAAATCAAAAAGTAGGTTTTTTTTTTTGAAGTAAAATGTGATATTTTTTATATCGTATAAAGAATTTAGAGAATACCATATACGCATATGGTTGTATTCCTCACACGCCGTGTTGATTTGAAGAAGAGATGATGCACTGGTTTGCATTTGTAATTGTCCTAATCAAATAAAGGTGAATAAAATAAGAGCAAAAGATGATACATAATAGTTGTGTATGGGAGAATAAATTTTAAATGAATACTCCCGACAATGTGTATGATTGTAATTACTAATTAAAGTATGCGCTATATTATGTATTAAAAAAAATAATGCCTCCTGGCAAGAGGATGAAATTGCATTTAATGGTAGTGACGGCCACAACATCCTCATCATTTTTCTTACCTTTTAATTAGCTATCGAATAAATACTCATACGATATAAATATTCTTATGTAATAAAAATAATAGTTCCATTAGCATTATTAAAATAAAAGTATTGTTTATGTAATAACTTTTTATATTACCGTTGTAGATCTTTGGTGATATCAAATTGCTAATTGCAATAAATGGGCTCTCTGCAACCATACTGTGTACGATGGATCCTTCATTTTGAGCCATGTCATCCCATAAAGAGACAATAATGGATCGATACCTACAAATTCAATTTGAATCGTATTCATTATCAAATTCAATATATAGATCTAGATAGCTAAAAGGCCAACTGAGCTGAATTGTATGCCATAAATTATAAAGTACACAATTAGTAAAGAATACAAAGCATCTAGATGGGCTGAAAATGGACAATTAGTAAGAGTACTGAGCAATCAGCCCCTCACACATTGGTACTCCGTTTTATACACAAACAACATTATTTTTATCTTTTAGTTAACACTACCTTGAAATTCTGATCAGGTGAAGGGAATATTGAAAAAGGATTGATTTCTATTATATATGTATATTCGTAGTATAGTTTATTGTTAATATTTAATGAGGCATTGTAAATTTGGTAGGAAGAAAAATATGTACTCTTGGTCCATGATGGTTATCTCTCGTAAGTTTGCTTTTGCTCCGTTTGCTTTTGTCACAATCCTTGATTCCTTTGCCTTCATTACAATCCCACATAAGTCTGAAAGAAAATATGAATGTAATTTTATTAATAAACTGGAGTTTATAGGAATTTAATTTTTGCATATTGTAAAATATATACATACCAATTTTATCATTAGCATAATTTTTGACATTGATGTTGTTGAAGGCGGTGAAATTATAGGAGATATTGTGTTGGATATCTTCAGCGGCAAGATTTACAGAGGTTTTGTTGGTCATTCTAAGGAGTAGTTCTTTCTCTGGATGAATGGCCATTTTTGCAAAAGTGGGATTGACTTGTCCTACTTCAGCACCTGTGATTGAATACGTGTTGTTGAGTTTGAATTTGTTGGCGTATTCTTTAATATCGTCATTCCACATTATTACTCCAATGTGGACTCCCTGCACAAATATAAATGAATAAAATAATTAGTTAATCATGCCGCTAAAATAAAACGAAGTGCCGCTCTGTAGTTTGGTTAGTAAAAGTAGTTTAACATAATTATCAAATATGTATTTTATAAATATCATTAAATTGATACGAGCTTATAAGATGTATTTTATTGTTAATAAAATATCTACTAATACCTCTGCACGCATGTTGCTGTTTATACAAACTACATCTTATTAGTTATTCTTCAATGGATTACGTGATATAATATTTCAATTCCATCATCAAGGTCATATGTATATCTGAAGCTATAAACTTTTAATGAACAAAACTAAGAAATAGATAGGTTATTTATAGTTATTTATGTTAAATGAACGACCCACAGTAATATCCAATTAAATTTACTCTATACACACAACTTAAGAAAAAACTTGTTGATGAACTTAAAATTTATACTTACATCCTTGTCGACCATTATCATTTTATGTATTCGAGAAGAACCATTCTGACCACAACTTGATTCCGAGCCTATCCTTAAAACTTTCAGTTGGATCGTGAATTTTGTTTGATTGATCTCCAACAAATTTACGGTAAGGCTCGACATAATGATGCTAGTTCTGCATGATATAATTGTTAGAGTATACCATTAGATCAAATTTATCTAATCAAACAAAAGATGAATATTAAAGGATTATTGGACAGAACATAAATGTCTTACAAAAACGGTGACTTTCTCTTAATCTCAAATCGTGGAGCACAATTATGTATGTAGAGGGTTTATAAGTATGATGAACTTACAGAATCACAATACTGATTGTGCACTTCTCTTGCAGGAGTAAAGTCTATGGAGACACATTTCCTACGCACAATATGTTACAACAAAACAGCACAAAAACCCAAAGACCTTGACCAACAACCCCACATA